ACTGCAAGAAAGAAATATGCGAACGGAGGGTAAGGCCATCTGGAGAGAAAATTCTCACAGTCAACAAGAAGAACGCCAACAACAGACCGAGAACAGGGAGGAACGAGAACTTTCGAGTGGCCAGTTTGGGAATTACTTGAATCCGGGTATCCAGACAGGCTAACCAAGGGCTAATCCCAGATCACTCACACCCATGGTGCTCCAGCGAGCCTCAGTGTGTGCGGTAATACCTCCACCTACTACATCGGGGTAACACTACCACTGAATTCCAGGAGTTAAACAGGATGAGTGATTTGGAAGGAGAAAAAAAAATCACAACACATAAATTCACTGCTTCAAGACATCCTATGATGCCGTGCCAGAATACCAAGATTCTAGCAATTCTAATTTTACAATACTGCAGCGATCGCATCCACAGGAGGGACTAGCAAAAGAATCGAATGAGCTTTCAGAGGTTTATTCACCTACAGAAACATGACGGAAAGGAGAAGAATTTAGGTCATAACTTAAGAATGACGTGACCTCATGCCTGCAATGCGGCCAGGGCTGGACTGGTCACTGGGATCCGGGCATTTCCCAGTGGGCCGATAGGTATGCGGGCAGGCAAAATCTGTCATGGAGATCCGCCCCAGCAAAATTTACCATAGAGGACCCTAAGGTCCAGGGCCAATTTTCAATCCCAGTCCAGCCCTAAATGTAGTCATGTAGTTTAAGCCCTGTTCACAGGATCATAATTTGATTGCAAACAGGCAACCTCGTCCTCGTTTACAGGGCTAAAAAGATGCAAAGTTTCATTATGGAACAAACAAAAAAAAATTCGAGAACAAAAATATAACCTCATATTTACTTCACAAAAGCAGCTGGGCTATGCTAATATTTTCATTTGAAAGTGATAGCCAGACTCGCAGAGATTCAAATTAAGCTGAAGGGGAGTTAACACGACATCGTCCTCAGGGGGCGTCTCCCCAGGACTAAGCCTGAAGGCTTTTTATTTACATCTGACCTAAGAGACACAGGTTTCCTCTTTGGATCCTCTGTACGTCTCAGGTGAAGCACATCATCCTGCTTAAGTAGACAGGATCTCCGCCAAGGGGCCTGGAATTCCAGTATATCCGGATCTTGGCCAGGCAATACCTAAGTCAGGCAAATGGCTGATATACCCTGGGGGGAGGGAGGGCCTGACTCTCCCCAATGATGTTTACGGAAGACACAGCCCACACCCTTTGCACCTCATTCAATTCCTCATTCATTGTCCAATCAACATGCATGCACACATACACAGAGACTTTAGGTCAACCTGCACCTCAGTGGGAACCAACACCACCATGATTAATCACCTCAGAGGTAATAGGAGAACCACTCAGAAGGGATTTCAGAAGCCTTCCCAGAGGCACAAGGAACCCGTTGTGTAGAACCATAGAATCAAGGGAACAATTCTGGAAGCGCTCGGCACACTCAAGTCAATAGACCAGAGTTTGATTGTTTCACATTTATCCTCCAGCTTCTGTGAGAGACTGATTGTCATAGAAAGTAGAGGAACAACTACGCACTCTTGCCTGAGAGTATTCACAAGCTCCAACCTCACCCAGTAATTGTCCCTCTGCTCCAGATCCTAAATATCTGCTGCCTTTGGTGAAATAAGTCACAACAGTAGTTGACTAGATCATTCCCTTGAAGGGAAACAACCAAAACTGATGAAGACATGGCCTCAAAACATGGGGAACAATCCACAAATCCATGGAGAAAAAGTTCTCACAGCCAACAGAACAGGGAGGAACGAGAACTTCCGAGTGGTCAGTTTGGGAATTACCTGTTTCCGGGTATCCTGGCAGGGTAACCAAGGGCTAATCCCAGCTCACTTCTGCCCATAGTGCTCCTGCTAGCCTCAGTATTACCAGTAAGACCTGGCTAACAGGGCCGACCTCCACCCTCATCATAAAATGCAAATGACTCTAAACATGTAACACGATCCACAAATCCGTCCAGGTTATGACTAGAGGATCTGGGAAACATACATATGATCGTCAGTTTTACAATATGTTCTCTTTTCTATTCCAGAATGTGCTCTTTTTTCTTGTTCCAGAATCGCACGGGTTAGGATTAATGTTAATAAATCAGAAGAAAACTATCGAGTTACCCTACGTCAGTGTTGTTGCCATTGGCTAAACTTCGGGTTGCTATTACACTTTTTAAAAGATTTAAACAGGAGCGTCATTCCCTACCTAATAATTAAAAAATTGGACAAATATTCGCACATCAGAGATCAAATAACACCTCTGTGTCTCTGACAGTAAGCGAGGGAATATGGTGTCAGGGAGAAACATAAAAATGATTTATTAATAAGGCTTGTTATAATTATACATACTGCTTATGAGAATATGTGGCTTTCGTCGCGAAAATGCGACGCCAGTTAAGGAAATACAAAGTAATCACAAAGTTTTAAAACACGGCCAAGTATGATAAGAATGTATCATAACACCCAGTTTTACTTTCCTCCTGACATCGATGACTTCTATGGAATTTTTAGTACATCGGATGAAAAAAAAATGCTTCATGTCAGTAGCTTCTTGCATGATCAAAATAAAAACAGAATGCGATTCCCTTTACCTAGTCCTGTTAATCAAGCCTTCAAACTCAGAATACTATAATTTAACTCCCAAGGGGGAAGTAAATGTCTATAGGTCAAACCCAAATTCCCAGTGCCCTAGATTGCTAGTTTTGAATAACTGGAAATATGGCTATGGTAAGAGTCTGTGAGTCTGGAAAGGGAGGAAAAAAGTATCCAGACAGCTAAGCGGAGCTCCCAGGATGAAGATACTCACGGGGTGAGTGCTGCTGTTCAACGTCGCATCATATTCCCGAAGAGCCCCGCAAGAGTCTCCCCCAGGATCTGCCGTTCCCACGCTAAATTCTGGGGAGGTGGGCATGGATCTCTTCCTACGAGCATCCCGTAATTTCAGGTCCTTCGCCAGCGACAAATGAGCGACGCTGGACCTCTCTGAGAAATCTGACCCGCTCACTAAATTGAGTAGTGCAACTACAGCGCAGCAGCGCAGTGCCTTCATGTTTTCCGTGCGCCTCGGGTCCGTACAGATTGCAACTCTTTCTATATGTCCATAAATGAAATCCCTTTTGTCTGCCTCGGCGACTCGTCCCCCAGCAGCATAAGCAGAAAGGACAGGCTGCTGGCGCGCAGAACCGCAATCGCCACCGAGCAGGATCCGAGGGCAAAGCCGTTTAGAGGTGGTGTGTCTCTTTGAACCGCCCACTATCCCACCGCAGAAGAGATGATTGGCTGAACTCCCCTTGCCTTCGTTTCCATTTGCTTTAAGGCGTTTCTATCAAATGCAAATGTATCTTAAATATCAAATAAATGCCCGTGTTTTATTGAGACCCGGTATTTAATTTCTGGGATTACGCATATTCTTATTACAATAACCACGCCTTTTGGGGAACAATTAGGCACCGTTCTTTCTAAATTAGCGTCAGCAAGTCTCAACATATATATCCGTTGGGTTGTACTCAGTTTGCAGGCTACAGTTTATTAATTCATGTAATAATCTGGGCAAAAAAATGCCGTAAAATTATGTATCGGGAAAGTAGGTAAGCATTTTTCCACCGACATCAACCCAATTTTTAAGAAAAATAATTAACTCTTACTCAGTGTTCAAGGGCTTTTGGGGTGTCAAATGTACCATGTTTATTTGCCTTTCGTGCTTAAAGTAAACTCTACAAGTTACACTATTAGTCGAGTTAATGTAAAACATTGAATAGCTTGGGGTTGATTATTATTTCGTAAAACACTGAGGGAAATTTATTCGCTACTGTTACGCAGTTTAACACACATTGTTACTAATTTAACTTGTTTGTGCAATAATACATTATACATACAAACGCTGTTCCTAGTGTTAATAATAATAAAAATAATCTTTTTAAAATGCACAATAAGTAGCCCTATATGTAATACTCTCAGGGGCCACTTTATTAGGTACACATAGGCGGTACTTTCTTTTCATACTGAGTCACTTCTAGGGTGGAGAACTTGCTCCTTTAGAGAAGACTTTGCATACCACTGCTGCACTGGTATTATTATGTTTGTGCTCGTGGCCTTCCTTGTTAGCGGTGATGAGTCTCACCACTCTTCTCTTACTTAATTATTATCTTAATTGCTGCCAATCTCGATCTCACCTACATATGCGTCTGTGTGTGTCCTGGAGAGCAAGATGGGGTAGGTGAAAAGAGAATTTCCCCACAAGGATCAACAGATGTGTCATTATTTTTATTATCATCGTTATTATTATTAACAGGGAGTTTGTAACCACAGAAATGGCGTTGAGTGGGTGTTTTCGCTCACTTCGCCATTCCCTGCAAACTCCAGACACTGTAGTGTGTGGAACAGAAAGGTGTCTTTTCTGAGATACTGGAACCAACGCGCCTGGCACCAGCAGTGATTGGATTTAATACAGCCTGCGAGCCGTTTATATTCAGTTGCAGCCACATGATTCCATGTTTTTAGGAACTGGCAGTTTGCAATAATAAGAAGTTGCAGCCTGTAAACGGGTCGCTCAATGTAATGTTAAAAACCAGAAAGGCAGGTCTTGCAGGATCGCACATTGGTTACAGGAAAAGCTGAGATTTAAATCCTCCAGTTTTGTGGTGTGACTGTTTTCTCAGCCACTGTTGGAGGTGGATGTAAGCAGTCAGTTAACAGATAAAAGGCAACTTCCTCCATCAGCCTTACTGATCTCTAACAACTAGCTAAGTCACTAGCTACAGTCCATGGACTGAAGGACGGGCTGTCTGCTCCGTTTGAGTCCCCATACTAGTTGGTGACAAGTTGGTGTTTTGTGAGAAACAGATCATGGCTTTGCCTCTGGTCTTTAGTGAACTTCATCCCATTTATTTTGGGGGGATTCATTTTATTATAAGGTTAAATAAGAACTCCTGGTACAGACTATGTTCGATGTTATATCGGGAACCAAATCTAAGAATTTTCAGTGTTAATGACTGGCAATTGTGACTTTAATAATTAAAATCCAGCACTGTGGTGATCCTACACAAATCAATGACATTACTCTCATACTTCTTTTAAAATTAAAACATATTTTTCACATTCACAGCCCAGACAAAAACATCTAAGTTGACATATATATACACACAAGACATTTTGGTTCCTTCCCATGCAGATGGCCAATCAAGTGGTTCCGCTTGCATCCATGTATGCATGGACAAGGGAAAGCACAAACGTCTACTTCACAGAGCTGTTGTCCTAATAGGTTTCCAAGCAACAGTTTAAAAAAATGCAAAATAATGCCTAACAGCACAGACAAAGGGAGAGCATATTTTCAAGCCCTTGCAAATTAAACCAATGCATGCCGAAAGCAGCACTCATTTCAATGTCACATGAAGAATGTACAGGCAAGTTGATTTATTTTTAATGTCATAATGGCCCTAGATATAACCTCAATAGGCTAATGCATTCATTTGCTCAAATCTCGACTGCGACGTCCATAAACATTTCCACAGAAACGCACACATAGCTCTCAATGTTCCGGGTGTAACGCTTTTATTGTCAAGCCGAGACATAGTAACAAAAGCCCCCCCCCCCCAATCCCCTCAACACCCTTCCAGCTCCCAGCAATTCCCTGTTGATGTGGTTCTGTGGTTTTGTACAGATCTGTAAAAATCTTCAAGACTAGGGGAAAAGGAAAAATAAACATCACAACCAACTGGCTCCATTCTGGACTGGAATATGCCACAAAAAAAAAAAAAAAAAAGTTGCTGAGAGGAAGCTAATTATTTCAGCCAGCTGCTCCAGGAAGATTCATATGGCACCACCATTCAGATGTCTTTGATGACTTCCTCAAGCTCTTCCTTGGTGTACATGTGAAAGGTCTTCCCTGGTTCTATTGTGGCAAGCTGAATGTCAGGGAAGGAAAGAGAAAGACAGAGAGACTGAAAACAGCTTAGTGAACATCATTGATCTTTAGTGGCCTGCATACTGCAAGAATGCTGGACCTCACGAACAAGGAGGTCAGGTTCAACTCACACCCGAGTTGGGTAAGTAAGCATGTGAACTAACCGGTCTTTCAGCATTCCTGGCCGGGGCTATAATCCCATTGCCACAATGATTGAGCCACTAGCAGCCAGACAGACAAACGGGCTTCTGGCAGACTTCACCTCACACCAAGACCCAGCAACAGAGCGCAGGTACAGAAGTGAAGGGGGGGAAAAAAAAAAAAAAATCACCTCAATGTTCGTTGCGTTCAGCTTCTCCTCCATGACCTGCTTCAGGATGGTGAGGGAGGACTTCATTGCTTCTTTTAACGTCATGGACTGCAAAAAAAAAAAAAAAACAGGTCAAATAATGCACTTCTGTCCACACAAGGCTCCTCCTGTATCATACATCTATGTGTCATTTGACAATTACCTCGTGCTCCAGTAACGGCCAATTAGATTACAGTCATATGACAGTAGAGTCCAAGAGGGCATTGTAGTCACAGACTGCATGTAAAACAGGACCATCCAATCACTTTCTGACTGAGCCCAAGACTGACACACCAGCTGGCCTATAATGTTGAACGGGGCAGTAGGAACCACTCCTATACAAAGTAGGTACGTGACCAAAAGAGAGACAACTAAAGACAATTAAAGTGTCAGAGCTGCATACACATTACTCTATCATAATACTGTCTCACTTCCAAGGAACTGTGACACATATCTCAGCGCTGAAAGGGCTGTAAAGGCTTTAGTTTGGCTTTCAATGATTGGCTTGGGTTAAACTTCTTTCTGGAATTAATTCAGAAGCCATGAGAAAGAGATCGCTTAACAAGTGCTCAAGTTTTCCTCAATGTGTGAAGTTATACTAGTCAAATCACAAGGGAGGCTGCATCATATAAACTTGATTTCAACCATGGGCCACAAGTGCCTACGACAGGTGATTAGTTACTCACTGCTACCGCCCACTTACAGCCCACCCTGCTTCCCACCCCAATTCCACTGAAACCAAATGCTTTGGATCATAGAAATGCTCTTTATGCATAGAAATCCCTCCCACTGGAGTTCAGTCCATTCCCCGAAAGTAAACAAAGAGGCTGTTATCTCTCTATAGAACAGTGCCAGCAACTCTGTGCGCAAAATGCTTTTATCAAAGAACTGGCTGTTCAGGCTGGACGTCGTTTATCTAATGTAGTTAAGGCTTGTTTCTGAAAGGTACAGAACATCTCCTCCAGAAATTCTTATAAACCGTCCTTCTGTGTGTTAGCATGCAGATCACGATTAGTACAGTTTTGCAGTGGTATTTGAAACAGGCAGGCTGTGGACAGCCCCAGTGCCTCTGCAGGGGTCCTCACCTTGTGGTACACTTCCTGCAGTGAGCTCTGGGCACCCTCGGAGGCGGAGCCAATGGCTCGCGCGTCACATTGGACAAAGGTGCCGGATGGGTCCATGTGGTACCTGTGTAAGCCACAAGCCGAAGCGCGCGCACACACACACACACACACACACACACACACACACACACACACACACACACACACACAGTGTTAGGATGCCTCCCAGTCAGCCATATTTAGAATCAGGAACTTAAGATACACGAGGTGAATCTATTATAATAAAAATGGAATCTTTTCAAAAAGCCTTTTTTCAAAGAAAAAAAAAAAAACAAAAAACTTACAACTGGGGACCTTTCTCATCCAGTCCCCCAAAGAGGAGTGCTACACCAAAGGGCCGGCTCTGGAGAGAGAGAAGAGAGGAGGGAAAAAGAGAGGAAAATGGAAAAAGAGAGAAGTTACTACTGCCCTCCAATAGAGGGCGCTGTTATGCCATCATGGATCACCAGTTGCATGAGGGCCAACAAACAAGGTTCCAAAAGACACATCTGATCAATGAAGCTGCTCACAGCAGCCCCACTGCACCCTGGTTCTCCAGCTCCCCGACATGACATCGTCACCTCTGAAGTCTTAAGTGTTCAAATTCCTTGGTTTACATGCATACTTCAGTATCATCATTTATTTATTACATGGAAAAAATGCTGAAGATCAGTATTTGATGCTAACATACAGTAAAAAAGGACAGAATCAAATTTCCAAGGACGCAAGACTACTTCTGCACTGATTTCAGCACTTATATGATTCTACAGAATTGACTGAATATCTGTTACATAAACCACATTTGTATTGTGAGGAGGAAAAAACTGTCCTTTAATACATCCATAACACATCGAGTTCGCATCATGCAGTGGACAAAATTTAATCTAATAATTCAATTTTGACTATAAGCACCAAAATTCATTATGCAACTTCACAGCCTGACTGTGTGGCTGTTCAGCTTGATTCACGTCTGCTGCCGTCTATGTTCTTTGATCTGCTCCATATGCTGTGACATCCATCACTGGCACCATACCTGCTTTGCATTGACAAGACTGCACATGTAAAAAGGAGGCTTCTAATCTATATCAAATCCTGATCAGCAAACACCCGGTTAACTATACTATGTGAAAAAAATATCTACTTCTCGCATACGTGTTTTTGGTTTGCTGCATGCGACTTAGACTGTGGGGTGGGTTGTGGCCAGTTACCATGGCGCCGGGGTCAGCGTCCTCTTCCCCGAACTGCAGCGCGAGGTTGGACACAGCCTGGGTGACGCTCTCCACTGTCATGGTCTCATTGTAGGTGAACCAATGGTTCTGTGGTGGAGAAGGAAAAACGAGCAAGAAATTGGGCTTCTGTTACGATGCCATAACATAACCTAACACATTTATTTACCAAATGCTTTTATCCAAAGCGACGGACAACTGAGGTCTGTCAGACAGTCCCTGAGGTAACTGGGGTTAGGGGCCTTGTTCAAGGGGCCCAGTGGTACCATCACGTTGCCAACCACGAGATTTGAGCCGCCTTCCAGGCACAGAATCCCAACCCGCAGAGTCACACAGCAGCCCGTTGGAAGTGATGGAGACCTGACACAACAGACAAGGACCCTGACAAGCCAGCTGAGTGTGGGCACTCAGAATGAAGGAGAAGCCGAGGTAGGGGTGGGTGATACAGCAAAAATATCATAGCAAGCAGGCAGGATAACAATCCATGATATTATCACAACTGTTTTTCATATTTGTTTTTAAAACTTTTAAGACGAAGTTACTGAACAGTACAACCAAAAAAAAAAAAAAAAACCATAGGCTTATAAAGTAACAAAACTTAAAGCAGGGGTGGGCAATCTGATCCACAAAGGGCCGGTGTGTATGCAGGTTTTTGGGGTAACCTTTAGGTCGGCTAATCAAACCCAGGTGTGAGGACTCTTCAGCCAATCAGTGCTCTACTTAGTAATCTAATCAGGGACTTGCAGTGAAAACCTGCACACACACCGGCCCTTTCTAAATAAGACTGGCTACCCCGGACTTAAAGGAAAACACACTTTGCATACTGAGAATGCTCAGCATATGTTTTCCTTTGAGGTGGTTAAAAACGTTCCTCACGCTGCCATCATCCGACGCGTGGAACTTTATCTCTGCAAATAAGTTGTTAGCGCCATGTTGGTTTTGGAAAATGCAAATAAGTTCCAAATAACGGATGTCGAATTCTTTTTAGGGACCAACTCCTCCATGATGTTGCCAAATATGCAAAGTGTTGCATGTTGGGACAAAGGCATGAAAGGGAGAGGGGAAGAAATCCAAGGCACTACTTATTGCCGGTTTATTGGTGTGTGGAAACAGATTTGGCTGACAAAATGATCTTAGATGCATGTATGAGCCGTAGAACCGAGACTACTAGAATGGGCACTGTAGCGCGACACTAACGATCTCGCCGTGAAGGCAGATAATAGAGACTTCTAAATCCTTCGTGATCCGATATCGTCAAATGGCACACCCCTAACCTGGGTCCTGTGGCTAACCTCACTGACAGCAACAAGCTAATTAACCCAAAATGCAGACATGCATCAGGCATCCTGCAGCAGAAAGGTTGAATGAGGCTTGCAGAGCCCCGGAGTGAGAGATAAAAGCATGATCCATACCACCCAAATGCCCAGCTAGCAAACTGACCTGCGTCTCCACTCTCGCTTTGTCGATCAGCGTCTTTGCATCAGCTATCAAGCCACTCATGGCACAGCCTGAGAAGAGAAAGAGAAACCTTAACAAAGCCTTTTTTAAACTAAAATAACATTTTAAGTAACTGCTGAAATGTTTCTGGCACAAATTAACGCTTTTCTGGTGCGTTTATGTCTTAAAACTGCACAATATGATGTCAGTGCGCTACCTAATCTTAAAATCTGTTTGCACTATGTTTATTCTCTTTACACTATACATTTGTAACTCTGCACTTCATGCATTTGCTGTTGTATACAAAAGCATTTCCGCCCCAGGATCAATAAAATATATAATCTGATCTATCAGAGAGGGGGCTCTCCCTTTACCGATGTGAGAGTCAATCTCCACGATCTTCTCAATGCTGCTGGGCTCCATGAGCGGTGATGTTATCCTCTTCTCTACGGCCAGGCACACCCCCTCAGATGTCTGGATTCCGATGGCCGTTGAGCCCAGCTGTGGGGGGTGGAGGTGGGTGAATTAACAATAATGACGATAAATCAGGATAGATGCAGATTCTGCTGCTTTGAGACAGGCACACTGCTTCAGAATGTACAAACTCACCTTGATGGCTTCGATGGCATACTCCACCTGGAACAATCTACCCTCTGGAGAAAATGTGTTCACTCCCCTGCAAGTATACAAGAAAATGAAACATTCAAAAATAATATTTCCAAACACGCACTGCACATTTAGATCCAACATGTTTGTTTAGATCAAAAGTTTAAAATCCACCAGCGATTCTTTTTCTGCATGTTCTTTAAGCATAGATTTTAATATACAAAATTAAAATGAAAGTGAAACTACAATAGCTATATTACAAATGTATAAATATTAACAAACTGTAAAAGTCTCACAGATTTACTAATTAATTAATCGCTTATCATCCACGGTACTAATTGCTCTGACAATATTTTCTGGAAGGTTGTTTAATAAAGGCCGTTTAGGCGAATCATAGACCATGATGACAAAGCAAAGATAACGTAAAAGCAAAGCTTACCTGTCATATTCCGATCTTGTCAAAAACATCTCGCCGGACTTAAAACAGGGGAGAAAATGAAATTTAAAAACTAAATAAAAACAAAATAAAACGGTTAAATGTAATCAACGAATGACTACTTGCAAGCCTAAACTTCACACGAGAAGAGAAATTGGCACCCACGAATCAACCTAGCCTAAGACTGTCTTATTCCCAAAGCCGATTGGGTAACACTGACACAAGGGGCGTGGCAGGCCAAAGACTATTGATGCAATTGGCTGATACAGCTGTCCATCCAACATGTTTCACCAAAACCGGCTTCGATTTCACATGAATCGCTTCTGAACTATAATGCATATCAAGCAAAAGCAATTGAACCATTTTGTGATTATACTATTAGTGATTCAATCACATATGATTTTTCATTAAAATCACTCGTAAATATGGTTAGTGAGATTTGTACGCCCAAATGAATATACTGCAAAGCACGAATAGCACATGAAACATAATCGATATGTTATAAACAAAAATCCATATACCTTATGGATACTACTAACTATGCCTGTTATATTACCGAATGGTGAATTTAACACTGGGCTATAAGTGTTACACCAACAACACTACTTACAAGAATTCAACGTCGTATGAATTTGCGTTTCGCCGAGAGTGTAGCGGAAGTGCACGATTATTTCCTTCCGAAGGTGAACACCATGCGCGTTTAGATGAATATTTTAGTTCCGCGGTCGATCCAAGAACATGCGATTTTATACACATTTCTAATTCCCCAGTTTTTGAACTGCGGCTACTTAATGCATTTGCTGTGTTGTCCCTGTCACCTGATGATCATCCTGTCGCAGTACAGTTTTTAAAAGTATTTTATGCTACAGTTTTGTAGTATTTATTAGTTGAATTTAGGGCTGTTTTCCAAAGCAAACAAACGGGATTTTGAGTTGATTAATGTGTATTATTATAGAAATGTCGCATTTGCCAATAAACATTATGTATCTGGATTTGGGGTACTCAGATGCATGTTTTTGTAATGATCTTATTTTGCATCTTTTCTGGGCCTTGGATGGAGTGACATATCAAGATTACCATCATTCCCAACATATGGGCATGTTGAGTCTGGAGCTTATTGGATGAAGTACAGGGTACAAATGTAATGGAATGTCAGTTCATCACAGGGCTCACACACTATTGGCAGGTAAGGGTGGTATGTGGGTCTGTGTTAGGCACCTGTGTCTCAAATGTCACAGTTTTAAATCCCATCGCTGGAAATGATACAGTATAACTGAACAGGGCTCTTAACTCCAAACACTGCTAATTGCTAACTGCTAACACTGTAACCTTACATTAAAGTAGTCTTTGTTTTGAATTTTTAACATTTAAAAAACAATGAATAGTGGAGTTTTGACTAAATACCATGTTATCAATTCTGATATTAGCGGAATTGAGAGAAAGTTTAAGCTTGAGTGGAGCAGGAGTGACGTGGTTCTGTTTACTAGCATGGAGGATACTGGACTAATATAATATCATCATAACATCAACTTTGGGATGCCTGAGAGGTGGCCCTGCCTATGTCGCAGTTTGATGGACAGCAGCCACCTATCAGGATTCAGCACCAAGGTGGTGCAGAGCGGGGTCCAGGCTGTGGCCCTCATGAACCACAGCTGGAAGCCATTGATAAGGGAGGAATCTCCCGACATGGTCTTCAGCATCCCGAGACATCCTACCTGGCCCATGAGCCCCCGAAGTTTTCAGATTTTGTTGACTCTGGGGGGGTCCCGTCAGTACATTTTGTTGACTGGTGGGGTGGGGGGGCTCTTGTTAGATTATCGCAAGCAGGAAGGGCCCTGATGTTTGATTTTAGGGCCCCTAGAATGTGCTGAGACCCCTGAACCTGCCAGGGTACCGTTGTCCCTCAAACACTCCAGCCTGGGCTCCCCTGTAGCATCACCTGACTGGTGCCTCAGCTTGGCACGTTTCACCTGCCTTTTTTGGTTGCAAACCGCCATTTTCTATTCTGGCAGATTCCCATAACATCCATTGCATGTGGCTGTTTGCACACAGCGCCTGCCACGATATAACATGGTTATTTATATTTATATAACCTTACAGAGGTGCTGTGAGTCAGAGCACATAGCTGGACCACGTGGCAAAAAGGACGCAGACGTGAGCCGCCGCTCTAATTTGGAACTGACCATGAGTTTTTGCCTTTGGGAGAGGAAACCACAGCAGAAGAAAACCCTGTCAGACCACAGGGGACATCATGCCAACTTAGAGAGGCCCAAGCTCAGCTCCCGGAGCTGACAGTCCAAACACCAAGCAATAACATTCATGCAATGAAGTACATTCAAGGCTTACACACTCCTTAACAGTAACTTTAGTCTGTAATTCAACAGCTCAATTCTAATAATATGGTTGCAGATCCCACACACCAGCCTGTTGTTTACCTCTTGGAAAATGGTGTGAAAGTAATCTGGTTCAGTTAAACTCCAGCTATATATACAGTAAGCTTTAATCTAAGCCCAACTGCTATACCTCCGTATACAGCGTCTGCTAAATCTACACACTACTAGAGGTCACTTCTCTGCTGTTTCTTAAACCTGCCCTGCACCTTCTTGCTGAAGTTTAAGGAGAGATGGCAGTAGTTTTGATAGGTTGCCATATCATTTACTATTAATAACCGATGCTTTGAAATGTTCTGCCCTGTAGGCTTTCACCTTATTTGGGGAACCCTGATGAAACCTTGAATCAAAGGTGTGTGTAATAATTATGTAAGCCAGACTAGTATAGATTACATCTAAAGTATTAAGGCAGCGCTTTTCATTTTTACAACCAGAGAGGGTTATAATTTGTACTTATATATACATGTATGGGGAAAAAAAAACTGTTGGTAAAAAACAGACATGCAAGTCTCAACATTTCCATTGAAACCTCACTCTCTCCAAATAAATACATAAAATACACTTAGTAAAATACATAAACAAGGCTGTCAATGAATTTCCCTAGATGGGTAATGTCTATTGAGGATTAGGGGCCACTCAGGGCAATCTCAACCCAGTCCATGGGGACCCTCAGACAGTCCTCGTTTTTGCTTCCACCCAGCTCCCAGCTCACCTATACCAGGTATTCTGTGATTGTTTGTTTAGTTCAGCTCTGCTAGTAGCTGGGAGAGAGCAAAAACATGGACTGTCTGGGGGTCCACAAGGACTGGGTCAAGAAACACTGTCCTGCAGTATTCCCTTGCAGGTAGGAGGCAGAAGTCCTGCAGGCCAGCTGCAGACACATCCAAGCGCGACCAGCTTCCCCATTTCTTTCTCCCAGGCTTTTTCCCAGCATAGGCTTTAAATCCAGCAAGGAAGATCTGTAACCCTCTCTCCTAAGGCTACTATTAGTTGCCAGCCATGTCCCACTAGTTCTTCTTGAAGCTGCTATAAGGAAACCTGGGTTACTGCAAGCTGGCACTGTGCTGATCGCCCCCTACTGGTACACGGCAGTATCCCAACAGGCCATTGCAGCACTATATGCACACCTGCTTATTCATGCAATTATCTAATCAGCCAATCATGTGGCAGTGCAATGCATACAATCATGTATATACCAGTCAGGAGCTTCAGTGAATGTTCCCATTAAACACCAGGCAGGAAAAATGTTTTTTTGACACATGGTATAATTGTTGGCTGGTTTGAGTGTTTCTGTAACTTCTGGTCTCCTTGGATTTTGACACACAGCAGTTTATAGAGTTTACTCAGAATGGTGTGAGAAACAAAAAACATTGGCAATTCTTTGGTGGGAAATAATTAATTGATGAAAGAGGTCAGAAGAGCATAGCCAGAATAGTTTGACCTGACAGAAAGGCTAAAGTAACTCAGATGACCACATCTGCCATGAAAAGCATCTCGTAATACACAAACCTTGAGGTAGATGGGCTACAACAGCAGAAGACCATGATGGATTGTACATCCGTCAGCCAAAAACGAAAACCTAAGGCTGCAGTGGACACTTGAAGACTAGAAGAATATAGCCTGGTCTGAAGAATCTCAATATCTGCTGAGGCATACAGATGTTAGGGTCAGAATTTGATGTTAACAGCATGAATCTATGGACCCAACCTGCCGTGTGCCAACAGTCCATGCTGCTGGGGAATGTTCAATGTGGGGAATGTTCCCTTGGCAGACTTAGGGCAGATTAATACCAATCAATCATTACCTGAATGCCACAGTCTCAGGGTTGGTGCCTTTTCCCAGTTTTGCCAGCAGGAACTGCCCTAGTGTGTTTTCCCTGCTCCCTGGGCCACCGTGTGGCTGAGCCAGAGGTCCCTTCTCTGGCTCATGTTCTGTCTGGCTCCTCAGAACTCCTTATGTTCCTTCGTGTGATGAATTTTAAGGTGCTTGATTAAATTTGTTGTACACATCGATGCTACATCCTCTCAAAATTTTGTTTTTACAAAGATGGTACATCACATGCTCCTGACACAGAACATCTTGTCCTGGTTCAGGAATAGCTGTGTTCAGGACCAAAAAGCCCTCCAAAGAGTAACTGGTGCAGCGGAATGTTGCTGCACGTCTACTCTCCCTTCGCTGCAGGACGTTAACACCAGGAGATGTAGGGCCAGAGCTATTAGGACTTTAAAAGACTTGTCTCACCCCAGACTGTTTCAGCTTCTGCAATCAGGCAGAAGGTTCCCCACCATAATGGCCAAAACAGAGAGACTTAGGAGGAGTTTTTATCGTCAGGCCATTCGCCTTCTTAATCAGGACATGCCCACCTCCACTTATAGTTGTAGTTTCATGTTCACCGCACAGCAACCAAATTCTTAGTGTCATATTGCACATTGATTGCCATACTGACTGTCATATTCCATATTGCATATTGATTGCCATACTGACTGTCATATTCCATATTGCATATTGACTGTCATATTCCATATTGCACATTGACTGTCATTTTCCATTTTGTCTCCGCCTTGGTTATTGTTTATGCTGCTACACTACGTTTACAATGTTTATACTGTTGTGCCGACATTGCACAAAGCACTTTAAATTTGCAGCTTGCAAATTGTACATCTGTAATATCTGTAGATCTGTTTCATACTTTAAAGTTTACATTTTTAATTTAAAAAAAAATATATATATATTTATTTTCTAGATCTTATTTCTAATTTTTCTTTATTTTTTTTATTATTTAAACGGTTGCACAGTCGGATAAGAGCGGCTTAGGATACATTTCAATGGGTGTTGTACCTGTATAACTACGCACGTGACAAATAAAGAATCTTGAAACACAAAATATTTCCAGATTGCAGAAATGTTTATTATAGCTTGCTTGGCAAGCATGCAAGTCGCCTTCACTATTGTCACCTTCTCACCTGATCTTATGCTTCAACTACTGCAAAGGGTATGCACATGACGTCACAGAAGGCAGCAGTACCCGCGGTCACACCCACTGAGAGGCAAAAAACAGAGTGACAGCGTTAACATTCAGCAGAGTACAGCAAAAAACACATCTAAAATGGCAAAGAGCTATCATGCCATTATATTGTAAAACTCGAAAACTAAGTATGTAAGTATCGGTCTTGGATCGGTCGCATATGGTCGATACACGATCGGTGTTATCTCATAACACACATCATCTATGCACTTGTTGATGTAGCCATTGACCTATAATCTATCCTCCTCCAAGCGGATGAGAACCATAGATGGCAGCCATGTTAAACTTGTCCTTGTCCGCGTGGTCAAAACAGTCTTGCTGAGGTCTATTGTCCTTTCATGGAAGCGGAGGCCTTTCCTTTGACTTTTCTGTTAAACCACAACTGAAAATCGAATGTGAGAAGACTAACTTCTTATTTCGAATTTATTTAGGAGAGAATTATTTGAGGATGTGTCCATCCATTTTCTATAGCCACTTATGCAGGATTCATTTGTATTATGTTTAGTAATGTAACGTATTAATAATACAGAAAATTGAAAGTGCAATAAAGAAAATAAAAAAAATATTTAAAAAAAATAACCGTGTTGTAAAACCAGATTAGCAGCGGTTTAACTAAAGCCCTCTTTTGAAAGAGCAATCACTCCATTCGTGCGTGTTTTTCTTTTGGCTTTAATCATCTGACCAATCATAACCTGATCAGTCAGGAGATCCAGAACGTTGTGTTTCCGTGCAGGAGGTATAGTCACTGTCGCAGCAATCACCAGCTTTCCGGTTTCTTTTCAAGTTGCTTAAACTGGAACTTGGAATTGGAATTGCTTACATCGGAAATAAAAAACCACTTGCATTTTAAAGCAACAGCATCACCACGTTCCGCAGTGTTTCCTATACTGATCTGTTCGACAAACTAACAGTGAGCACGGGAAAGAAGTTAGGTTAAAGTTGTTTTATTTATGTAAATACGTTTAATTATGAAAAGGCAGCGCAAGTGGACATGAAATGTATTTATACGGATTTAGGTGAAAAGAGAGTGAGGATTACTTGTAGTGAATGAACTCAGGTCCGTAATACGGTTTAATATAATCGCTAATGTGACAGAGCTGTTAGGTCAAGTTTGGAAACAATGAACGCATTTTATATTTCACAACAATATCGACCTTCAAATAAATTCCCGAGATTTGCAGCATTTCAAATGTGTAGGTTGGTGAGTGAAAACAGACATGTTGACACTTAACAGTAACAGGAACAATGTGGGAGTGACCGTTCTCCTCACAAAGGTTAACTGAAGGTGGTAATGGGTTCTTTCTTAAGACAAGAAGCTCGGGAGGAATCAGTGTCTGGAGCTTTAAGGCCAACCCTGTTTAATACATGTGTTATCTCACAGAAAGGTGGGCGTATTATGTGCTGGTCAGAGAAATGAACATCTTGAGGAAGAGACGAATGCCATCTTGAGGAAGATACCTAAAATGAAGGCACCGAATAACCAGTGGTTGTTAAAGATCCCCTGGGATTTGTCACAAATGGCAACTCTGGCCAGAGTCCCAGATCTGCGCCTTACGGCCTAGTCAACCGCCAGTTTATGATTAACCCTTGACTATCCACCCAGCTCATGCCTGATGACAGCTCTCTGGGCATGGAGACACAAGCTCTGCTGTATCAAAGATAACAAATCTAAACCAAACGACTGCAAATAGAAAAACAAGTACACCACGCATACTTCTGAAATAGGTTTTACTCTTAAATTTAAATCAAAGAAAGGAGAATAAGCCATGGATTGCCAGTTGCAGAAACCGTAATATTGTGTCAACAGAAAGGGTGGGACGAGCGCACTTAAACTGCGCCTTTCTCTTTAAGGTTCGACTCGGTAATCACGTGTCCGGAGTTGCAGGGTCAAAAAGTTTGACAGAAGCCCGTGTAGACATATAGTTTTGTTTTGTTTCCTATTGTTTTTGTTTTCTTTGAGGCAGGCATCAAACGGGGTTCCTGAAACTCTTGATCAGCATTATATGCTCGCTAATCTTGCATAAGGGTAAAGTTTTTTCCGTTTTTCCATTTCCTATCTCAGAGTAGGCAGACCCTTTCCACAGTAGCAATGGCCGGAGTTATTCAGGTAGGGGATCAAGACTCGTTTTCTTGTGTGGTGTTTCTTGATGAAAACTGATTTGGGTTAGATGGATATGACTAAGTTCTTGTGGCTTCCTTACCCCGTGTACGTTTAGCAAGTGACAACGGGACTTCGTCTCGACCTGGGACCTCTGAAGGAGCCATTAGGATTTATTCGCGTCCTAGAATGGGTAAGCTAATTATATTTAATTCATTTTAAGCAATGGTATTACTGCTGCTGCTTCTACAAATAATAATAATACGCACAGGCCACCAATTGCCAAAATTAGGCGCACGTTATATTATGAATTATACGGCCAGTTGTTTCTTTTATACACCCCCCCGATATCCAAGTAATTAAATGAAGTAAATTTGCAGTACACGCAGATATTATCTCTGGTAAACATGCTCAACACCCATTTTAGGTAAGGATTTGTCAAAGTAGTTTTAACTCTTAAACTTAGCAGCTGGGATTTTAGTCTCTAGATCTACATGCATTAAATATTAATGCGAGAAAGTTTATACGTGTCTGAGGGCGCTGTTGCGACGCTGCTTTTACATCCCCTCATATAAGTGTCTAATTGCTATAATGTTTCAACTGTAACTATGTTGCTTCAGAAAAGCGTGAGAGTTTTGACTTCAGAAGCTACAATCGGTACAGTCAAATGGGTGCAGAATGACTGGGGCGTTTCATGCGTGTCATTTATAATGTATACCAGGCCCTGGCCAAGCGCAGCTTTCCATCAGAAATCTAAAAAGTTAAAAATTAACGCGAATAACACTGGGGTTTCACTGAACGCTCCGCTCTTGCTGTTACATGCAGATAGGTTATAAAAGTGGCGCCTTAATTAAACCCAGTCACCCTTTATTTGCTCGTTAGGCGTTTTGTTTGAACTTGAAAGTACGATCATGAATTGGAAAGCCATGCATTTCAAGAAGACACGTTGCACAGTCAGGATGCAGGTTAATTTTTTTGCTGTCGGGTGGTGTATGTGAAACACCTGCGGCTTGGAAGATCAGGGATGCGGATCTGTGTGTGTGTGTGTGTGTGTGTGTTTAAAAAAGGCGTGGGCCCGGCAGCAGGACTCGTCTGGCTCAGATCACTGTTCTTATGCGCGACGCCTTTCCCCGATGCGGACTCGACCTGCAGGAACCCGGAAGAGGAGCCGGTCGCCAGGAAACCTTACGAAGTCTTTTCCGCCTGTTTTCCACCAACTGATCTTCTGCGGTGACGACAAAACATGCTTAGTTGAGAGTGCAAAAAACGAGTCTCCTTTAACTAGTGTAGTTTGACTTTTTATTAGTTTGGGTGGTTGGCCAGAATTAACCTGCACAGGGCACACCACAACCACTCTGCCACCGAAGTATTTTTTGTTTTATTTGGAGTGATGGACCCCCTACAGATAAGAGGCTGGCCTATTGCTACAGAAACGGCAATGTGAGCTTTTCAGCCTGCTGATTCAACCCCCCACCCCACGACCAGGCTTCCTGTTTCCTTGTAGCCATGTTTTCAGGAGGGTGTGTGCAGGACTGTGGAAAACCCCCCCAGCGTATAGCAGTGAATATGCCTGGAATTTGCTGGCTGTATGGTTTGTTTAGTAGGGTGATGTTTGTTTTAAGTCTTTGCGAGGAGGGAGCTTTCTGCTAGCATTTTAGCCTGTCAGGGAAATGTAAGCAAGAACCCACCCCCTGAATGTGCAGTTGGCGAGGCTGTTACCTGGGATGGAAGAAATTCCCCCAAACTTGTTTCCCAGGGCAACAGGGCATCCTTGCTGGTACAGACTAGAGATAGTGAAAGGAAAAGTAACTGTCACATTGAGTGCAGAGAAGCAGGAGGGAAAAAGAGATTCTGTTCGAAACATGTGCATAGCAGTGCCTCGGAGATCCTGACATATAAAGTAACACGCTGCTTTATGTGATGGAAACACAGGACCTAAAATTGCCAAAGCAAACTCCATTTGCTTCAGAATCTTAAACATTGATTAAATTCACTGTGTCCATCCTATATTTTTCTCTCCCATTCTCCATATAGATGAGGATTGTGGTGATTGGTATCTGGGATAACCCTAGGGATGGCTGATCGTACAGCTCTGGGATTTTGGAGTCGTAGGGATGTGTAACATGCTGGGTGAGAAATCGGTGTATCTGGAAAGAGGGGTGACATTTGTGCATGCATAGAAACGGAGCAGTCTTTCCCCTCTCTCCAAGTCATGACAGACGTCCCTGTCACCCAATTTGAGTACAATAAAGCATGCAGACATTTTTTAGGTCAGTTTTCTCGGATTGACCGTATCCTCCCACATCCCACAAGACCGCCTGTCATCTTGACTTCCGACAGTTAGCCAGACCAAAAGTGTGTGATTCCGAGCAGGTGCCAATGTAGACCAACAGGAAGTATTTACCACTAGCTTCTTTGTTTGCTTTGGAGAGGAAGTGAATGGGTCCAACTAGCGCAGTTTATTCCTTTAGTTGGCCTTAAGTTTCTGAAGTCCCTCAGACTGGTTCAGGTTTGCTTCTTTCTGCCTTAACCACTGAAATAGATGTCAAATAAACTCTTCAAATCTACTTCACGTGTTCACCCCTTGTCGTCGTGGGGTTTCGTCCGAGTACTCTGGTCGTCCCCCCCCCCCCCTTACAGCCCAAAAACATGCAGAGGTTAATTTGAGTTGTAAATTGTCCATATGTGTGCATGTGTGAGTGAATGGAGTGTGAGTGAATGGAGTGTGAGTGAATGGTGAGTGAGTGAGTGGTGTGAGTGTGAATGGCATGTGAGCATGCCCAGCTGCCCTGCGACAGGTTGGCACCCCATCCCGGGCTGTTCCCTGCCTTGCACCCGTATGCCTCATTCGCATTAACCCGGTAGCTTGTTTCTCCTCTTTTGTTGGGCTGGGTGTCCTGCCTGCAGGTTTTCTCCATATTTGCCTTTGCCACGGCTGGTGGATATTCAGGAACCACTCAGGTCAAAGTGACATGTACAGGATCGGATGCGGTCAGCATCAATGCTGACTTCCATTACCCTTTCAGGTGAGGAATTTTGAAAGTTTCCAGTTGTGTGTTGATGCTTGTATTCAGTGATGCTTAGATTTTTCTCCCCAGACAGCACGCCTGACTTTTCCTGGGCTGCATTTTCTTGTGCTTCTACAGACTCCTAGGTCAATCATTCAAGATCCCGACTTGTAGTAATGACACCAAGTTGGACATCAACCTTATAGGAGACTTATCATCATCAGCCGAGTTCTTCGTCTGCATCGGCGTGTTCGGCTTCCTGTACTGCACAATCGCCCTGGTGCTCTACTTGTGCTACCAGCACGTGTACCGTGATGGCACCCGAGGCCCCATGATTGTGAGTCCCATTTTAAGCCTCTGACTGTGTTCGAGAGGGCACCGATCCAATACCCACTATCAGTATTGGGCCAAAACCAGGCAAAATTTCTGCATCGGTTATCTGGTGGGTGGGGGGAAAGAAATCGATCTGATTTTCCATCAGAGATCGGTCAGGCCTGAAAAATAGCAAAAATGCCTGTAGCCTTAGCATGACATCCCATAAACAAAAAGTGAGGGTCACTTGATGGGTAGCAAGTTCAGCAAGTTGTTCATGTTTGCTGTGTGGAAACAAAGTAACTGCTTCACATTTGTGAGGGTTGGGGGTGGAAGATCTCTGCGAATGTGCAAATAATACTTCGGTTCTCCCAACTTTAACCCATAACAGTTGGCCAGCCTGAACCAGAACCCTAGTTTGAGATGAATTGATTGGAGGGCTGAGTTTTTACTAGAGGGAGCTGATGCCAATAAATATACAATTATTTAGGGTGGGCTAAAAAAACATTTTAGGGGGGGCTAATGCCCACCTAAAATAGGCCTAACGATGCTCCTGTCCTGAACAGTAACACAAAAAGTCTGGTTACCAATTTCTAAACAAATATTACTGTACTGAACACTTTGCGTGTGAAATTACTTTATTTATTATCAAGATATAATATACAAACCATCTGAATTATGCCACTCTATGTGCAAAGTTACTACTGTTTGCACTAGGAGCACTATGTTTTGGACTCATTATTGAAAATGAAAAATTAACAGCACTGAAAAGTTTAAAAGTTACTGTAAGAAACGTGAGATTCCACTGTTAGAGTTAGCTAATGTGTGAGTGAGGCCGGTTACTGAGACAATGAGGGGCAACATACCCCAGCCAAAATTTTTAATATTAAAGATATATTATGCACTTGCACTAACAAATGTTCTGTATTACTAATATCTATATGATTTTTATGTAATCCAAATTATTTTCAGTATTGTTTTTTGGCTTGCGTGTCGTCTGCGAGTTTCCGCGATCGTCTGCAAGCTCCAAAAATATTCGTTTAATTGTTGATGGCCAACTTGTGAATTACCGAAACCGTGAATGTCAAATGCGCAGATGTGAAGGGGGTGCCGAGTTTAATTCTGATGGAAGAAAAAAACAAAACTGCTCAGTGCAATGTATGTAAGGCTAGTGTGGAGTCTTCTTAAGTCTGCACAGTAAAATTTATTCAAACTGTCTTCGGACTTCTTTCTAAAGTTTGGCTAAATACTATTTCAAAGTTATATCTGGGCTCCACTGTATATTTCGTACTGGAGACTTATGTGTATTTTTTGATTAGAAATAGTTGGGGTATACACTGATATTTTTATGATCTGTTGCGAAATGAAAGAAACCAATTTGCACTTTAAGAAATTTCTGTTCATTTTTGTGAAAGATATTACTCAATAAAACAAAGAAGCAGATACATGATGTTGGCCATGGATTTTTCACTGTAGCGTAGTGGAATATCTTTTGTTTGAGCAACATGACCATCATATTTTCCATTTCTTAGTGTACTCAATGCCAGTACAGCAATAAATGCAGATAGTTTGCTATGTTAGTTGAAATGTATTGATACAAATATGTCATATATTGTTTAGTAGTTGATAGAGGGGAAGAAATACCAAATTGGTGTAGGAATTGGCAGATATTCAAAATTTTAATACTGGTATTGGTATCAAACCATAAAAACTGATATTGTACCTTCTTTAGACTGTATCCCTCCTATCAGCGACTGTCTTGAACTGTAGCATAAACTGTATTTGGGTACATTTCCCAAAAACAACCTTTTATCAACTTAAAAAATTGGAACTATTCAGTTGTATGGTTCCAACTATGTAAGTTGCTAACGTTGTTGGCAAGTGTGCTTTTGGGAAACGTACCAGCGTCCGTCCGTTTCAGCTCGGACTGAGCTAGAGAGACACGGCACTGGAGCGCCTGGTCATCTCCACATAGATACCAAGTGCGTCTCCTAGGTTATCTTCATAGACATCTTAGTCTGTAAAAGTAATTGTTCTTGAGAAGGTGAGATGAAAACATTGCCAGGAATGAAATTGCCTACTACTCGATTATAGCTTTTGAACGCAAAGAAAAAAAAACGCGTTCTCTTACATCTCTGAATTACACCACAGACAATATGCACAGTGTAAAATCACAGTTTTTAAATGAATAGCGATGAGGTATCAATATTCAATGTCAGTATTTTTGTTTATAGTAAAAGGTTGGTAGATATGCATAATAATTGGTATATTTATGAATTGTTATACTGATGGAATCACAGCAAATCACTGGAATTAAAAAATGCATAATGGTAACTCATTGGTTATGAAAACTGCATAAAATTTTTAGGCTGCTAATTAGCATTGATTTTAAAATTGGTTCTACATAAATAATGTAAACAGCTGCAAGCGGTAAATATGTCATAGACATTTGTTTTGTTTTGATACAAATTAACCTAAGGGGTGGTGATCATTTTTCTGACATTTTTCTGGCTTTCCCAGAAAATCCATTTATGATTCCGCTGTGGTCATTCTTCAGTGTCATCAAGTGCGAAAATTCCGCATTAGAAGGCAATAAAAAGTCTTGAAGTGCCTACAGACGTCCACCGGAAGCATGACCTGATGATCTTGGGTTGATTTTATTTTACGAAAATGCATTTCTTTAGCAGACTGTCGAAGGAAACTTAACAGTCTGGTGCTTCATTCAAACTGACCTACGTACTGAGTGTTCTTTCGAGTTAATGCCAACCTCTACAGGCTGCTGTTTCATCACTATGTCCGACTTGTTCTCCCCCCCCCCACTCCAGGACCTGATTGTGACGGGGGCCTTTTCCTTCCTCTGGCTGGTCTCTTCCTCAGCCTGGGGTAAGGCCTTGACTGACATCAAGTGGTTCACCAACCCGCAGACCGTTGCTGATACCATTACCGCCTTAAAAGATTTTAAGGGAACATGCAGTCCTGGACAGGGCCCAGCCATGGGCCGCCTCAACGCCTCCGTGGTGAGCACCAGTGCCGGTATTTGCCCAGCAGTGATGCCACCAGTGCTGACTTCTTGTCAAGGTCACTGAAAATTTGCCATTTTGTTTTCAGATCTTTGGATTCCTCAACCTCATCTTGTGGGGGGGCAACTGTTGGTTCATCTACAAGGAGACACCGTTCCACAAGCCCGTCAGCCCTCCCGTCATTGAGGAGGGACCTGGATCTTCTTAATCGAATCCCTCAGAATCGCCGATAAAGCCCCCACCACTATCAGCCCATCATCCAAAGGGGGGGGGAGGGAGGAGCTGGGTCAGGAACCCATGGTCATGTGTCTGCAAGAGTCCTGATATGAGCATGACGATGCTCCAGTTTTCATTGCTGGTGTTGAGCTTCAGCTTTCAAAAATCACGTCGGACAGCTGGAGCCCAGACCCACAAGGGAAACTGCAGCAGCATATCCAGCCCTGTTATCTGATTACTATTAATTATTCCGTTTTATCTTGTTGTGACCTTTCCATAGTAGTATTGCAATTCAGTGTTTCAACGCCAAATCGTTTGATTTTTAATTGTAAGCAACATTAATCCCCTCACCCAACAATTAACGTAGTTCGTCACAGTGTATCATTTTTCGATACTGAAATTCAAGCACTTTTTTTTTTTTTTTTATTTTAAATTCTCTTTTTTTGGCTGTATGTGCTGCAAGGTCAGCTCTAGTCAGACTGGGGTCTTGGTGACTGGTATTTCACCCAAAACATCAACAAGAAGAATATGGTAACTTTAAAACACTCAGTTCTTAATTTGCAACATTTTGTGTATAAGGGAAGCTACCAGCTTCTTGAACTGCTATAATTTTTTTATAAACCTCATTACAATGCTTCGTTAGAAATTTGAGCTGTTTGGCTTTCCCAAAGGAATAGCCATTAGTTTAGGCTTTTTTCTATTAGTCATTTTTATTAATATTAATATTGTTACTGTAATGTCACTGTGCTTGATGTTTGCCTCACAAGTTGAGGTGAGGTTAACTTGAGAAGATTAAACTCCTGCCATGGAGTGATGATGTCAGATTGTTTCCTGCTGTATTTCACCAAATGGCTGTGGCACTTATTTAAGTAGCTGGCAGTGAGTCGTCTTTTTAAGCATCTTTCTGTTTTGTTTATGTACTGCATCAGGTTTGAAATTGAAGTAGTTGACACATACTGGCTATTTCTGTTAAAGTGTACTTTAACCAGTTGATTGGTAAGTGGGCGGGTTTGTTTTCCTAATGATACAGGGCTTCTGAATGTAATGATTTGTCTTTCTCTGGCGTTCTGAGCAGACTTCTCTCTTCTGTGTTATTAAAGAAGCTGCAAAACTTTGCCTTTGTTCAGTCTCTCTTGTACTACAATGAGTATTTGGCCACAAGGTGGTGGTATTGTCACTGACGTTTTAGCTGCCAGAGATTTCCTTGTTCTGCGGAGTAGAAATGGGTGAGGTTATTCAGCAGACGGCCAAGTGGTGGCACTGTTGAGAAATCCAGTGCCAGGCCTAGAAATCCGCCCCTACATAGTCATAATTCGCTACAGCATTGACTCTCATGATGGACTTTAATACCATAGTGTTTTTTCTTTGATGATATGCTTTACTCGTGTTTCCTATGCTGCGTGAGCAATTTTCCCTCTGTCTGAGAAGAACATCTGGCATCTCCTCTGCTTCTTCTTGTTGAGGGTTAGGATAACACCTAGTCTGTTGATGATGGAAGGAGTAGAGAAGATCATGGTGCTTGAAGCTGGCAAGATCTGACCATTAAGTGATGAAAAGTCCTTCCTGGCTGCCAGGCCTACAAAAGGCAACTCGCAGGAACAGGCAGTTGGCAGTCAGTAGGAAATATACTGTATATGTATTTGTTAGGCCTGAGCTAGATTACATATTTCTATACATTAGCAGCATTAGCAGCGTGATATTTGCACAACAAAACAGCAGGAAGTGGAACAAGATGGTTCGTTTTAATCTGAATTACACTCATGCGGTATATGGCACAGTGCTACATGAAAATCACATCTGGGAACTGAAATAAAAAAAATGCATGTCCTCATTTGATTATTTGTGCCTATGTGGTCTTTGTAAATCACCCAGGCGTTCCCATTTACCTGCATTTTAAATATTTCCAAAATACAGTGTAACCATGGTTTCGTTTTTTGAATGATGCAGAAAAGCTCACAGATATTGTAAAACTCTGCTGTCTAGCTGTTCACTTGGCTCCCTCTGGCTTTTCCAGCTACTACAGCATGCTGAGTAAGAGCTCTTACTTGGATTAAATTATATGAACATATCCCTCCTGTACTTGCATTCCTACCCAGTTTGTATAGCAGAACACACACTACTGTCCCTCACCTATAAATCTTAAAAGACTTGGTACTAAACCATCATAGAAATCCCGCCCAACCTGAATATTTCATCCACAAGATGCTGATTATCTTGTTATACCAAAAATGCATATCACAAATACACAATCTCCTCCTTCTCATATCTGAGATTCAAACACACGCTCTCATTGAAATATAGAGGGGAAAAAAAAACATTTATAGTATAGGTTTGCTGTGTCCTGACCACAGAGAAATATACAAGCAACAGTGAGTATTGATACACTAACATTGCAAGCAATGCACCTCAAATAGCCATGACTTCATGAGGTCTTCATATTTCCTCCATTTTACAACATTTTATGTGGTATAAAAAAATGTATAGCATAGTAAATTCACCAGAGGTATTTCAACATGCTAAATGGTTCATTTTACTTCATTATAACCTAAGTGTTAACTCAATACTTAGCCACCATTTTCAATTTCAATTCTGCCTCAGGTCTGGCCCTGGGTTAACATCAACAGCAGCAAAAGGTTGTTCAGCTTGCAGCATTTTTGAGACCCAGCTCACCAACAGTGGTCTGCATCAGACCTCTGTCCAGCATCACTCGCCCCTCTTACTATAGTCCGTATTTTGTTAATATGTCATTTTTACCGTAGGTATCAGGAGTGCTACTCATAATCACATCAGAGAAGGCCAGGTAATAATTTGTTTTGTTATATATATTACTACATATGTTATTATAACATCTATGTTATTATACTTGTTTCTGCGTTTTACTAAGCAATATGTTATTCATTAACTGATTGATAAATCTGGCTACAGTTCATCCGGTTAAAAAGAACAGTTCTTTTCGTGGGAACTCGATTCACATTTCTGCTAGGCCCCGCCCTCTCTTTTCACAGCCAATCACGCCTCAGTTCCTGAGCGCTGCTCGGTAGCACAGCTCAGCCCCAGCCTCCGACCCATGATTCAAGGGCGTTCGTCGGTTTTGCTGCGTAAGGTACATTAACTGATTTCCTTGTAATGTAATTGTAAATAACTGTACAGTGGAGATCCATATTAGTTTTCTCAAATGACACTAACTTATATTTAGTCCAACAACTTAGGCTACACCCCGAAGTGTCTTTAAAATTATACGGGTAGACGCGTTTTGTTCTACTAACGCAATTGTATTAATCCTTATAGATAGACGAAGATGTGAGTTACGATACGACCTCGCGCACCCCTCAGGCCCGCGTCTCGTGCCCACGCACGCCGGCGACCCTAGCACTCGCGGGAGCGCGAGCGATGACGTAAGGGGCATGCCCGCGCAGCGATGATGGCGGTGCGTGAACGCGCAGCAGCAGCAATGGCTGCTTTGGATCGTCGGGTCCCGAGTCTCGAGGACTTCGTGGGCCAGAGCTGGAGCTCCTGGGCGGAAAGAGTGAACGCGTTCGTTTCGGAAGGTGAGTGAACGTGTGGGCAACGGCGCCGCCGAGGTTCGGGTCGCGCAGCCGCTCTGCTGCGGTTTATTTTTTGCTGGAAAGCGTAGCGCCCTGTCCATGTAACCCAAACAAAGGACCCGCTGGGTCCTAGTGCTGGCTGGATATTGAGCTGCGAGTTTAGGAACTCTCCTGGGTCCTAGCGCATTAATAATCGTACGGTTTTATAGGGAAAAAGTAACTACGCATTTTAACCACCGTAGCCTCTTATTACATGTGCCCGACTTTGTGTTATGCTGAACGTACTTGATTTATCCTTCTACAATTGTCGGAAAAGACAGCGTGGACGAGTTCTGAGAGATGGGTGGTTAAAGAACTTAGAGCGGAGGCAGACGCCGGGTGGCCGATGATGATGAGGAGGAGGTGGAGTACGACCCTGTAAGCTAGCGATCACACATCGGCTGCGGTGCCGTCAGGACGCGTCCCCGGCGATGCCGCGGCGGTCCCTCTCGGAATCGCTGCTCGCAACTCTTTGGAGGAGGAAGGCGCGGGGGGCAGCGCTTCTACTTCGGCATGTCACGGGGGGCGGCTTGACTTCGCGGCGTGCGCCCGCCTCGCATTGTTTGGCACCTCTCCAGAAGCGCATTGCCACCCGCGGGATGTCCGATGCCGGCCCAAGCGGCCGCTTCAGTCCGCGAAGGATCAAACGCACGCGCGCCCCGCCTGCACGCCTGCCAGTTGTGAAAATGGCTTATGTCGGAGCCAGATAACTAGTTAAAACTTGCATCGGGCTTGTTGCGTTACGAGTGACAGGGATTTCCCTGGCGGCCCGGACGGAGGGAGAGGTTACCCCAACCCTGCGGAGAAATCCATGCCCCCCCCCTCGTCATTTTTTTAAACCCCGTATTAGTTTCAGTGTCAATCCCCCATTTGCTCCTATGAGTATACTTTGCTGATTATGTCGCATGTACCTTGATATATACAGACAAGGCTCTTGGACACACACACAATGCAATATTGCTTTAATATTTGTTAGTTTTGGTTTATTTCATTCTGAGACTGTGGGTCATGTGCCTGCTTGTTTCTGAGCCCATCTTGACATTGCCTTTGTGGAAACACGTCTTAAAGCTGCGTCTGTCCCAGGGTCTGATGGGGAAGAGTGTGGCAAGAATGGGAAGAAGAGGGCGGAGACGATGACGCTGAGGAGGGAAGGTACGTCAGCTAGCCGCAGCCTGGTGTGTCTGCTGTTGGGAATCCCTGGCGCTTTTGTGGGAACGCGAAGACAAAGTGGTTAAATATGAGGAAGGGAAAAAAGTGCTTTTGAGTTCTGCAGCCAGTGTGGTGCCTCTGTACAATAAATCTGTCTGCCCACTCCAGTGTAGTCCAGCTCAGTAAAGCCTCTCAGATACGTAGCCCTTCTGCACACCTTCTACCAAAGCAGGTTGTTCCTGTTCCAAGCTACAGGTCACATGACATCATGCTGGAGGGTGGGCTCTGATTGGAGGAGAGCCCCCCCCCCAGCATGCCGTGGGAGCCCAGAGGGCCGCAGCCGGCATTTAGCGATGGTGTAAGCAGCCCACACACTGCTGCCGTCGGTTTGCAGTCGACGGATGAGTCAAACTGCCGTCTGAGGTGTGGGTTTTGAACGAGTCTGTCTCTAAATTTAGCCTGCCCAAGTACTAGAGGCTAACTTGGCTGTGAGAGTACCAGCACTTGGGGGGGGGGCAAAGCACGGCAGTTTGTATCCTCTGTGGTGTGGTAGACTGCGGTGTGTGTTTCGGACCTGGTCACGCCCGCTGTTTTCACACCGAATGTGTCACTAGCTGAGGGCATTGTGAATTGTGAGTGTGGCCCTCGCTCGCCTTGAACTGCGGGAAAGGATGACAGTTTTGCATGCGTCACTTTTCAGTTCATCTGGAGCTTTTTAGCCACCGTACCTGGAATTGGACATCTTCTGTTTTTTGCTGTTATTATCCATCCAATCACCCGGAGGTGTTTGATCTGTGCCTGTCACATGACGCAGCACTTTGGTTGGGCCCTGTCATTTATCTGGCGGGTGGTGGCCCCACAGGATGACTCTCCGCTTATCCGGGGTCTGTCCCAGGAAGGATGTGGCCAAAGGCTGGAGATTCCCTGGATTGGATGCGTTATTATTCTTTTCTATGATGAGCTGTTATTCCTACAGCTGAACACATTATTGTTGTTATTGTAATTATTACAAATACTTCAGGTTAATTTTGTTCCAAGGTACAATAGCTAGCCCCCTCCTGCTTAAAGTCCTGTTACCTTCTGACCTTCTGCTTTCTGTGTAACCCCCCCCTTCCCAAAAGACATGTCCATGTTTGGGCACTGCCCTGCGCAGGATGACTTCTACCTGGTGGTCTGTAGCCACTGCAGTCAGGTGGTCAAGCCGCAGGCGTTCGAGCGTCACTGCGAGCGGAGGCATGGCTCGCTCGGCAAGGCCCACGGACGCCCCCCTGTGGCAGCCGCCGCTGCCCCTCCCCGCTCGCGACACGCACCCCCTCCTTACAGGTCGCCCAAGCCGCAGAGGGACAGCGCCCGGTAAGTCCTGCCGTCTCCTGCTTGCGTGA